AAAAATGTTTTTGTTTTTGGACGGCAGTGATTTGTGTATTTGTGTTTTTCTTTAAAAAAGTCTGTAGTGACCAGTAGTAATTGTCCAGTATAATATTGTATAGTATAATACATTTTTCCAGTATAATAATGTAGTTTAGTGCTGTTGGGGATCTGAAAGGTGCTTTGTGGTGAGGAAATTGATGTAACCTCACTCACTCCTCACTCTCACTGTAATTACCGCTCATTCTGAATGACCCGTTAATTCCTGCGTATCCGTTTAACCCCTGGCCGCTGGCCGCACATTTGACCGGCTGATTTAACGATCTGGTGGCTGTGTGGTGGTGTGTGTGGTGTGGTGGTGTGTGTGGTGAGGCGGTGTGTGTGGTGTGGTGGTGTGTGTGGGTCAGGTGTTAACGATGGCGGAGATTAAACACTCAAGCACGCAGAATTCGGCTCCTCGCCGTGATGTTCCTCGCTGATCCTCTCCGGCCGGCGCCGTGTGTTAGCGGCCGGCCGCTGATGAAGAGCGATGGGTTTGAGGCGTGAGCCGTCAGGGTGTAATCTATTCTGCAGCGGCACGGACCACCCTCACCCCCCGGCCCACCGACCCGCAGGACCTCCGCCTGGATCTGCTCTGAGACAGAGAATCATTACTAATGAAATACCCTCTGAGAGAGAGAGAGAGAGAGAGAGAGAGAGAGAGAGAGGGGGGAGAGGGAGAAAGAGAGAGGGAGAAAGAGAGAGAGACAGAGAGAGACAGACAGACAGACAGACAGAGAGAGAGAGAGAGAGAGAGAGAGAGAGAGAGAGACAGACAGACAGACAGAGAGAGGGGGGAGAGGGAGAAAGAGAGCGAAATACAGAGAGAGAGAGAGAGAGAGAGAGAGACAGACAGACAGAGAGAGAGAGAGGAGGGAGGAGAGAAGGAGAAAGAGAGAGGGATATACAGAGAGATACAGAGAGAGAGAGAGAGAGAGAGAGAGAGAGAGAGAGAGAGAAAGAGAGAAGAAGATACAGAAAAGAGGAAAAGAGGAGAAAGGGAGAAAGACAGAGGGAGATACAGAAAGAGAGAGAGAAAGAAAAAGGAGAGAGGGAGAAAGAGGAAAGAGAGAAAGGAAAAAGGGGGGAAAAGGACAGAGAGGGAGAGACAGACAGAGAAAGAGAAAAAGGAGAGAGAGAAAAAGGAGAGAGGAAAAGAGGAGAGAGAGACAGGGAAAAAAACGGAGATACAGACAGACAGGAAAAGAGGAGAGAGAGATACAGAGAGAGAGACAAGGAGAAAAGAAAAGAAGAGAGGGTGAAAGAGAGACAGAAAGAGAGAGAGAGGAAAAGAGGAGAGGGAAAAAGATACAGAGAGAGGGAGCGAGAGAGTTAAAATGTTCTTATGAGTAGAAGACAAACAGTTGTTCTCAAGTTTCCAACCTGAATGCATGTTGAATCACATTATCACTCATTTTGACGGGGCAACTATATTAAACTATACATTACCTATAGAGAATAAATGTATTCTTTAATCAATGAAATTATCTACAAGCTCAATTCCAAAAAAGTTGGGTCAGAAGGTAAAATGCAAATAGAAACAGAAATCAGTGATTTTATAGTTATTTTATGGGTATTTAATTGAAAACAGCACAAAGAAGAGAAATTTAATACTGTATCTTATCAACTTTATTGTTTTTTCTAAATATGTGCTAATTCCAAATTTAATGCCTGCAGTATATTCCAACAACATCTCAATGCATAAAGGGCAAGGCCAAAAACCACTACTGAATGCCCATGACCTTTGACCCCTCAGACAGCACTGCATTAAAAAACAGCATGTTTCTGTAATGAATGTAACAACATGGGATCAGAAAAACTTCAGAAAACCCTTATCAGTAAACACAGTTTGTCGCTACATATACAAATGCAATACCTAATACGCAAAGGAGAAGCCATGTATCAACAACATGCAGAAACACCGCCGACTTCTCTGGGCTAAAGCTCTTCTGAAATAAGAGTTGTTATTCAGATTGTTTATGGAAATAATGGACATTGTGTTCTCCAGGTCAGTGAAGAAATGGATCATTCAGATTGTTACCAGTGTAAATTTCAAAATCCAGCATCTGTCATGGTGGCTAATCTGCATCTCTTTGAAGGCATAATTAATGCGGAGGGGTTACATACACATTTTGGAGCAACACCTGCTGCCATCTAAACGTCATCTTTTTCAGGGACGTCCCTGTTCGTTTCAGCAAGACAATGCTAAGCCACATTCTGCATGTGTTACAGCAGCAGAGTGCAGGTGCTAAACTGGCGCATGGCACAAAATGCATGGCGCATTATAAAGCGCGGTATAGGACTGTGGAGACTTTGATGTAATGGACGTAGTTGACACTGTCAAGAACTGATGTGAGAATCTCAGACTGTCAACTTTTCACATCTAAAACTTCAGATGTTTAAAGCTAACACTGAAAAACTGAAAACAACCATGTATTCTATGGTAACATAGTCTCAGTGTTTAGTTTAGCAACCTGGTATTCATGCCAGGATTTAGTGAGTGTGTTGTGAGGCTCAAAGGGAAACAAGAGATCTATATATTATTTTACTTTGCTAACATTACTACGAAACATGAGTGCCTTAACCCCTTAAATGGCCAGGGTCCCCTTGCGACCCCAAAGTTTTATTACACACTTCTATAACCTAAGAATAACTCGACCAGGATAGCTGCAGTTAGAAATGATCTTTATCTCTCCTCAATGTTGCCTTGAAAAACCAACATGTTTCCACATTATTCACTGAACAGAACTTACCTCATGTAGAAGACGATGACTGGCTCTCCTTTAACGTGGACTGGGTTGTGATTTATCCTGCAGTGGCTAAAAGATTTCCTTTCTCTTTTGAATCACAGGCAGGCAGCTGGCTTAATAAAAATGACAGATAAAGAAATGTTACAGCAATTCTCAGACTTGTGGTGTTCAGGTCTGTGGGACCCATTTTCAATGTTTACCAAAAGAAAAAATGATACAATTTACTATTATTTCAACCTCAGATTCCTGTCCTTTGCTGATTTTCTGTGAAGAACATATAAAATAACACGTTTTCAGTGTTTTCACTCTGTTCACCCCCCACACATTTATATTACACATGTGGTGTTGGGTGAACCCGCAGGGAGTAAAAGTGTGGAGGTGCTGTGTCCTTCACTCTGTTCTCCTCCTACATGGCCTGCTGTTAGTGTGTGTCTGTCTGTGTGTGTGTGTGTGAGGTGGACAACATGGACAGGCTGCTGACTGGCTACAGCTGCTAAAGGAGAACCCTACGCTGGACACTTGTTATATTTTAAAAATCTGGTATTTTTACATAAATTATTATGGCTGTATTGATTTAGAAAAACAGTAATATGGTGGGTCCAGCAGACCACTGAGTAACACACACACCAACACCACACAAGGGTTAAAATATTCTCAGTGGTCACCATTCAGAATGGTAACAGTACCTCAAGATTTGAATTGAGTGTTTTTAAGTCAGCTGGCTGAATTCTTTCAATAGAACATCTTCATTTCCAGCCACAGCATGTTTAGCACCCCTACCTAAGTGAGCATCAGCCTCTTATGAAAGCTTAGTCGTGTGTAGTCACTGCACATGTACAGACTTTTGCACATGCGAGTTTTGGGTTAATGTGTCACCTATTTTCGCTACATCAGACTGTGGAGCAGCTGAGTGTTATATCAAGCAAGAATGGGGAAAATTCCACTTTCACAATTGCAGACGATTAATAAATGTGGTTAAAAGAAAAGGTGTTGTAACACTGTGGTAACTGTGCACCTGTCAACGTTTTTCAAACACAGTGCAGGCATCAAATTTATAAAGAGTGTATGTAAACAAAAATAGGCAAGCTGAAATGTTAAATAACCTGCCTTTGTACTTTACACTTGTCCTTTCAGTTGAATCTCTGTCAAAAAGGGTTTGCAAATCATCGCTGTTTGCATTTATATATTTTCCTATTGTCCCAACTGTTTTGGAATTGGGTTTGTATATACAGTGCTGTGAATAAGTCAGAGCAAAGTTCAGTCTTAGAAGCTGGTTGATCATTTTCTGAAGTAATCAAACACATTCAGTGGTGTTGAGGTCTGGACTCTGGGGTGGTCAGTCCATCGTTCAGCTTCTTTGTTTGATGTGTCCGTCTCCTTTTCTCAGTGAGGTTCTTCTTGACAGCTACACATCCTTTCAGACCCACAGCGCTGAGTCGTCTTCTCACAGTGGAAGGATGGACAGAAACACCTGTGGATGTTTTCAGATCTGAAGCAGCTTGATTTTCTCCTCTCTCTCAAAGATTAAAGTGCTGTTTATCTGATGGGGGCAGTTTTGGGGTCTACCAGCTCTTCCAGGTGGTTGTTAGGAGTTTCATTTTCTCTGTATCATTTTTTTTTAACTCCAATTTTGAAAAAGTCCTGTTTTTTCACTTACTTTTCTTTGACTTTCTCCTTCCTTATGAAAGTGGACTGACTTATATCTAATATCCTCAGAAACATCTCCTGAAAATGAATAAATGTACTTGTTTTGACAAAGTTAAATACATGGAAGGTGGTTTCTGACTTTTGCACAGTACTGTAAATGATACAAACAAATAAAATGAAATAATAAATATACAATAAAAAAGACATTTATTACAAGAAAATATAGAAACTATTTATAGCAAGAAACTATACAGGCCCTGTGGATGAAAGTGTAAGTTTTGAAACCTGGCAAACACATTCTGTATATAAACTACAAACCAGACTGCTGACACCGTGTTGTACAAATGATGAGATTTTATGCCTGAAAGAGAGAGAGAGAGAGAGAGAGAGAGAGAGAAATGGAGGTGCTGGTGGGGGTTGGGTGGGTGTACAGATGTGACAGCCAAACAGAATCGCGCCCCGCGGCTGCAGAGCGGTCCAGACGTGCTGGCAAACGCATTTCTTCATCCGCCATCGGCCGCGATCCGCCATCGGGATGGCCCCGACTTCTTAATAACTTTCCAGAGGGCTTGTGCTGGTCACCATGGCAATTACCTTTTACTGTCAGGTCATAAAAGATATGTCCACCCAAGGGAGCGTCAGACAGCCGGCTGGGCGCTGCTCATTACAGACGAGTGTCCAGACCCATTCCTCCTACACTTTGTGGATTTCATATCGTCACACTATCATTAAATGCACCTCGTCCAGATATTACAGACCATCACCTAACTTACTGAGTTATACTGAATTACACTGAATTATACCGAATTACACTGACTTATGCTGAATTATACTGAGTTATACTGAATTACACTGAATTATACTGGGTTACACTGAATTACACTGAATTATACCGAATTACACTGACTTATCCTGAATTATACTGAGCTATATTGAATTACACTGAATTATACTGAGTTATACTGAATTACACTGAATTATACTGAGTTATACTGAATTACACTGAATTACAATGATTCATACTTAATTACACTGAATTATACAGAGCTATACTAAATTACACTGAATTATACTGAGTTATACTGAATTACACTGAATTATACTGAGCTATACTGAATTACACTGAATTATACTGAGCTATACTAAATTACACTGAATTATACTGAGCTATACTAAATTACACTGAATTATACTGAGCTATACTGAATTACACTGAATTATACTGAGTTATACTGAATTACACTGAATTATACTGAGCTATACTGAATTACACTGAATTATACTGAGCTATACTACATACTGAATTATACTGAGCTATACTGAATTACACTAAATTATACTGAGTTATACTGAATTACACTGAATTATACTGAGTTATACTGAATTACACTGAATTATACTGAGCTATACTGAATTACACTGAATTATACTGAGCTATACTACATACTGAATTATACTGAGCTATACTGAATTACACTGAATTATACTGAGCTATACTACATACTGAATTATACTGAGCTATACTGAATTACACTAAATTATACAGAGCTATACCGAATTATACTGAATTACCCTGCATTATACTGAATTATAATGAGCTATACTGAATTACCCTGAATTATACTGAATTATACTTAACTATACTGAATTATACTGAGTTATACTGAATTATACTGAATTACCCTGCATCATACTGAATTATAATGAGATATCCTGAATTACCCTGAATTATACTGAGCTATATTGAATGATACTGAATTACCCTGAATTATACTGAATTACCCTGAATTATACTGAACTATACTGAATTATACTGAGCTATACTAAATTTTACTGAATAACCCTGAGTTATACTGAGCTGTACTGAATTATACTGAATTATCCTGAGTTACCCTGAATTATACTGAGCTGTACTGAATTATACTGAATTACCCTGAATTATACTGAATTATACTGAGCTATACTAAATTTCACTGAATTACCCTGAGTTATACTGAGCTGTACTGAATTATACTGAATTACCCTGAATTACCCTGAATTATACTGAGCTACACTGAATTATACTGAATTACCCTGAATTATACTGAGCTATACTGAATTATACTGAATTACCCTGAGTTACCCTGAATTATACTGAGCTACACTGAATTATATTGAATTATACTGTGCTGTACTGAATTATACTGAATTATACTGAGCTACACTGAATTATACTGAATTACCCTGAGTTATCCTGAGTTCTTTTTCAGTCATTAACCTTTAGTCCCTGATTCCTGAAGTTTGTGGTATATCTGTGAAGTTTAACAGTGTTGTACTGGGCCGTGAGCCAAGAGATGTTTCACCACGGTAGTGGAGTTTGACTGGGCCGTGAGCCAAGAGATGTTTCACCACGGTAGTGGAGTTTGACTGGGCCACAAGCTGAGAGATTTTTCACCACAGTAGTGGAGTTTGACTGGGTCACAAGCTGAGAGATTTTTCACCACAGTAGTGGAGTTTGACTGGGCCACAAGCTGGGAGATTTTTCACCACAGTAGTGGAGTTTGACTGGGTCGCAAGCTGAGAGATTTTTCAACATGGTAGTGCAGTTTAACTGGGCCACAAGCCAGGAGCTTTTTCACCATAGTGGCAGAGTTTTTCTGGGCCATGAGCCAAGAGATTTTTCACCACAGTAGTGGAGTTTGACAGGGATTGCCAACTTAGTTTGCATTAGATATAAGACCGTACCTCTGGAATCTTTGAGGCTGAGACCACTCTACCATGACTTAGTATAGCTCAAAATGGACAAACATTCAGAAATATAGTTTAAGATGGCTGCATCTGTTTTTAGCTGTGCTAAAATACTTTAGTCCAGTTTACACACAAAAGTGTGTCATAGTGTCAGAAACCACATAATATTTGAGATTTCTTAATGAGGTTTGAGGCGAGTATAATAATTAAGACATGTAATTAGCACCATGCTAATTGGTGGGGTATAAGCCTATATTAGCCTTGTAGCTCCAGTGCTACAACTAAAGAAGCAAACTTCAGACACCAAACATGTCTTGGCTGATTGGCTACATTTGGAGTAAGGAGAGAAATGTCCCTTTAACTATTCCTTTAAAACGTCTCCGAGCACATTACTGTTCTGTCTCCGGTAGTTTGGTTTGGTCACATCATGCTTGAACACATGAAATGCTGTGTGCTGCTTTTAAAAAGGCAAGGTTATTGTTGAAATTCTGTCTGTTTTGAGAAAAGTCATATTTGCCCCCAGCACAGCACTGCAGATTAAGTTAAGCCGTCTTAATTAATCTTTCCGAGCGTTCTCCTCTAACAGACCTTGCCAAGTTTTACCTATTCCACCACCAAAAAGTTGCTGCCTCACTGTTTACCCTTTTCATACATAATACAGACTGCACAAACAGAGAACGTCCACGCGTGGTCAGGAAAAAATGTCCTGACTTTGTAGGAAAACCAGAGAAACACAGCTCTAACTTACAGGACCAACAAAACACTCCTGACTTAATGCTTTTTACAAAAGCTCTGTGCTTCATTTTTTAAACTTAAAGGGCAAAACCATTTCTTTTTGGCTCCTGAGATTAGAAAATCACTGTGTTTATATATACATATATAACTTTTTTCAGTTTTTGAAATGAATTGAAAGTGCCTTTTGCCAAAACTACTTGGACAACAAGTCTGGTTCCATTGACTTCCATTAAGAGTAAAGTATGTTTTTTCCTTCTCTTGTAAAGTTATTATTTTGGAGATACAAGGTTTTGTTCCGACTACATATATTGCAGATAAGGAAATTATGCATTTCTATACATTTTGTTGTCAGTAATTGTATGTAGTGAAATATGAAATGCTGTGTCTTATTCCACGGTTTATTTATTTTGAAAAAATAACGCAAATAATTTTGCTCATTTCAAGAAATATTGGATAGGACACTTTCACTAGCTATCATTTTTGCAGTTTATTATTGTTACACATATGCTCTTACTATCAATACATTTATTGGACCTATAATAATTATAATTACATGTGATGTTATTATTACATTACATTTATGCTTCCATGTATATAATAAGATGTTTTACCTATGGGTACTTATATATATATAATACAAATGGGACATAATACATATAGGCCCTTAGGTGTATATAATTCTTATGGGACATATTACATGTGGGTACTTACGTGTATATAACTGGTAGTTACGTGTATATAATATATATTGGCCATATTACACATAGGTGCTTACGTGTATACACAGTGGTGGTATATATATATATATATATATATATATATATATATATATATATATATATATGGAACATATATACGACCCCACATGATGAAGTTCTAAAAACGTCCGCATCAGCAGGATCTCTTTAGTTCTCCTCTGAGGGCACTAAAACATCTTATTTTCCTCCTGCGAGTCCTTGTTGTCACAGCGACCGTCTCAGTTGTTCATCACCCTGTCACTTCTGCCCCTGGCCCCGCCCCCGCCCCGCCTCACCTGCACTCTTTCTCTCCCCATTTTCTCTGAACATGGTCTCTGTGATCAGGATGATCTTCCCCGTCACGTCACAGTCAGAGGAAGTGAGAACACGGAGATCAAACTCAGGCAGAGGTTCCAGGCTGTGTTTGAAGCTGCAGTGAGGAAGAGAGCTTAGTGACAGGGGTCGTCTTTAAAGGGCCCATCTTCTACATTTCCCAATCTTTTCTTTTTTCTATGAAATACACTAATAATGTTTATGTGGTTTTGTCTCATAATCAGAGGTGGGTAGAGTAGCTTAAATCCATACTTAAGTAATACTGACACAAGTAAAAATTTCGTGCCAAAAACAAATGGAGTGAAAGTGCAATATTATTTAATAAAAAGTACTCAGTAACTTACAGAACTGCAGAGGAACTTTGTAGTAAGTCCAGCATGTTTCAGCACAGGAACTAAAGTTTGTACAGCTCTGTTCTTCTCTTTTTGGGATTCTTTTGGTCTAAAATAAAACACTAAAGCCCCAAAGTCAGAGATCACAATCACAAAGCGGTACAGATGATATCAAATATAATGAAATAAAACATTAAAAACGAATTAGTAACTATAAGTAAAAGTATTATTATTTGAAAATACTCAGGAGAGCACAAATCCATCAACGTTTTACTAAAGTACGTGTAGGTAATATAACTAGTTACTACCCACCTCTGGCCATAATTCATTTTTACATGGCCCTTTTCTGTCCTCTCTTTATCCCTTAGGATTAAACAGGCTGTTTTTGTTACTGTGCCTTTAAGAGAGTTAAAGAAAAAAAAATGTATCTCCAAAATGGTCATTTGGAGCATTTCTACTGGTCCACTGAATTGTTCCTGAAATGTGAAGGGCAGCTTCTGTGTTCAAATGATGTAGAAAATTAAACAATTATTTGATTTGGACAGCCATTATATGTAAATAAGCTCTGTTCTGATTGGCCGTCCTATATTGTGCCTCATGCAAAAAGCAGTCTGGGCTAAAACACCTAAAACTACACTGTGAATGGGCGGAGCTAAGCTGCTGTAGGCTGACTATTCCATGATGGGTCCAAAACGGGCTGTTTTAGCAGCTTAGTTTTTATTATGGCTGTGATGTCACAACCATGATGGGTCCAAAACGGGCTGTTTTAGCAGCTTAGTTTCTATTCTACTCTACATAGTTCAGTAGAAAAAGACTGAATAGAGCTGAAAAGTGGATCTGATGCTACATTGATTTACAAACCTTAGATAGCCATTAAAAAAGCAAACATTTCTGTTCTCTCTCTCTCTGTCTCTCTGTCTCTCTCTCTCTCTGTTACAGGGAGGTATTGTCTTAATTAAGCAGAGTGAAGGATGATAAATGAGCCGAGTCCTCAGTCTGTGGGAGACACATTGATTTCACATTAAACGCAGGGCTCTTGAATTGCTGGGCTATTACAGGCCGTTTGCATCATTTGCGCAGGTGCGCCTGATGTGAACGAGGCTGTATGTGGTAGAACTGCAACTGTAAGTCTGTACTGACGGCTCGTCAGAAGTTTGGAGACACGTCACCTTCTTTTCAGATCAGATTTCTTTCTGTTATGTTTTAATTAAATACAAAATCTTGTATTTAATTTATCATCAAGCAGCTCTCAGCCATGATGTGAACACTCAGCACCGGAGCGTTACCGAGATGACTGGAAGTAATATTAGCTTAGCAGTTCTTATCAGCACTCTTACAGAAGATGGTTCTTCAAGGGTTCTTTACTAAAAGAAAATGCTTCCATATAGAACCATAAACACTCAAAGAACCCTTTGCATGATTAAAAGGTTCTTTGCATTGTGAAATGGTTCACTGGAGTGTTTATGGTGCTATATACACTTTTAAAAAGATGGTTTTTCGAAGGCTCTTTACTAAAGAAAACGTTCTTCAGATGGATGCAGAACGTGCTGTAGATGGTTCTTTATAGAATCTTTTTGAAAATGGTTCTCCTATTTTTACAAGCTTGACATCTTAACATACTGTTTTCATCTAAATAAACGTGAATCAGGCTTTAATTTGGTCAGAACTGACAAAGAACTGATGCTGGCGCTGTGTAGTTTTATTAGTGTGCTTTTCTCTATATATTCTATACTGGTTTACAGATCATATAGCTGACTTTACATGTTGTATAGTTTGCTTTGCAGATTGTATAGTTGCTGTGGGTGTATTCAGTGCTTGAGTTGTAAAGATGCATTGGTGCTTAATTGTGTTTTTTGTTCTGTTTATTGTTTATGGTGTTTTCTATTGTGTCGGGTTGTTTTAGACAGTCTTAAAGTGCTTTATTATTATTATTTAATTTTTGTTAAATATTTTATTGTGAAGCACTTTGTGGCCTTGGCTTAGAAAAGAGCTATAATAATAATGTTCACTTACTTAGTTTACTCACATTAATACTTTACAAAAAACTTTATTAAAAAGTTTACTTACTTTTTTTGTATTTTGTTTTTTATTTTATTTTATTTTGAAACTGTACAGTGTTTTCCTTTTGTAGTTTTATTTGCATATTGTATAGTTTTCTTTACATATTTATTTTTTTGGCATTTTGTAAAAAATTTCTTTACATATCAGATTTGTTTACATATTGTACAGTTTTCTTTACGTATTTATTTTTTGGCATTTTGTAAAAATTTTCTTTACATATCTGATTTGTTTGCATTTTGTATTGGTTTCTTTATATATTGTTTTACATATCATAGTTTAGTTTTCTCTACAGATTGTATAGTTGTCTTTGCATATCTCATAGCTGACTTTACATGTTGTACAGTTTCCTGTACAGAACGTATAGTTGTCTTTACACATTGTGTAGCTTTCTTTACAGACAGTATAGCTGTAATTATATATCATGTAGTTGTCTTAATGTATTGTACCATTTTTCACATATCATCATTTTATTAACACATAGTTGTGCAACACATAGCTTTATTAACAGCATAGCTGTCTTTACAGATAATATAGATCATATAATATTCACACTTATGGTATTGTTTTCATCTAAATAAACCTGCGTAGAGTTTAATCTGGTCAGTTATTGCAGAAGCGACAGAAGAACTGATGTTCGCGCTCCATAGTTTTATTTGTACATTGTATATTTTCTTTATATATCGTATATAATTTTTACAGATCATATAGTTGTCTTTACATATCATATAATGTCCTTTACAAATCGCAGTTTTCTTTACATATCTCTTTTTTTACAGATCACATAGTTGTCTTTAAGTATCATACAATTTTGTTTACACATTGCATAGTTTTCTATACATACCATATAATTTTCTTATATTTTTTTCGTTGCCTTTAAATATCCTAGTTTCCTTTACAGATTGTCTAGTTGTCTTTACACATTGTAAAGCTTCTTAATGGATCGTATAGTGTCATTACACATCATAGATTGTATTGGTGACTTTACATGCTGTATAGTTTCCTTTACAAATCGTATAGCTGTCTTTACACACTGTATGGTTTTCTTTACATATCATATTGTTGTATTTACAGATCATATAGATCATATAATATTCACACTTAAATAAATCTGTGCAGAGTTTCATCTGATCAGTGATTGCAGAACCAACAAAGAACTGATGCCCACTCTCTTTATTTATTTATTTTTTTTGCACATTGTATATTTTCTGTATGTATTGCATATTATTTTATAGATCATATAGTTGTTTTTACATATCATATAATTTTCTTTACAAATTGCATTGTTTACATATCATATCATTTCCTTTACAGATTATATAGTTTTCTTTACAGATTGTATAGTTTACAGATTATATAGTTTTCTTTACAGATTGTATAGTTTACAGATTCTATAGCTTTCTTTACAGATCCTATAGTCTTTACATATCATAGTTGTCTTTAGTGATCATATAGTTGACATAGCTATATATATTATGGATCATATTGTGTCTTTACACATCATAGATTGTATTGTTGACTTTACATACTGTATAGTTTCCTTTACAAATTGTATAATAGTCTTTACACACTGTATGGTTGTCTTTACAGATGTAGATCATATAATAACACACCTGTGATATTGTTTTCATCTAAATAAACCTGCGTAGTGTTTAATCTGGTCAGACTGAGAGCCGACAGAGAAGCGGTGATGCCGCTGTGCAGCTCTGCTGCTGCTGAGCTGGTTTACGGGCGGATGTTAGCGCTGAGCGCGCTGCTCTGCAGACTCAGTTCACATACGCTACAATTAAGCTCACAGCAAAATGTGTAATTAGGGAGAAAGTACAGTGCGGCTCGTGTGCGCCTGATTCCAAACAGCCCTACTTAAAGCCTCACATCTGCTGCAGCAAATGATCCCCTCTCCCGCCTCAGGACGGCAGCCGCCGCTAATTACCAATAAAACTAGTTTGGCTTATTTCTACAAAATTATTAAGACTTTATCTTAAGTGGACCAGAACTCAGTCCTGAAGCGAGGGGGGCGTTCGGCGCCTGCGATCACTGCAGTGTGATGTCAGGAATTATATTCTGAGCTTATTTTTATAACATATTCAGCCCGAGTGTTTCTGAATTACAGCATTATTAAGACAGATAAAGTGACAAATGATTGTGTTTGGGCTGCTGCCTCACAGCGCTGGGATATTTTCATAATTCTCTTTGAAACTAAAATTAGAGCAGTGAATATTAAACAGTGCAGACTGTGCTTTCTTTACAGATCAGTTTTCTTTATATAGTGTCTATATTTGTCTTTACATACTGTACATTTTGTCTTAAAGTCTATAGTTTTCTTTACGTGTAGTTGTCTTTACATATTGAATAGTTATGTATAGTTGTGTTTACATATCAGATTTCTGTATACAGTGCAAAGTTTTTCTTTACAGATCATAGTTTTATTTACATATTATAGTTTTACATGTCAGTTTTCTTCACGTTTATAGTTTTCTGTACAGATTGCATCATTTTCTTTACATTGTATAGTTTTGTGTATACATTGCATAGTTATCTTTACATCATAGTTATGTCATAGTCTGCTTTACACACTGCAGTTTTCATTTCAGATCATATAGTTGTATTTAGTTTTTGCACATTTATTGTATAGTTGTTTTTAAACATCATATAATTTTCTTTACAGATCATATAGTTTTGTTTACACATCGTATAGCTTTCTTTACAGATTGTATAATTGTCGTTACATATCATTTAGTTTTCCTTAAAAATTGTATAATGTTCTTTACATACTGTATAGTTTTGCATAATTATATTTACATGTCATCAGATTTCTTTACACAGTGCAAGGTTTTTCTTTACAGATCGTATAGTTTTATTTACATATTATAGTTTTATTTGTGCATTGCATTTGTGTCTACTGATCGTTAGCTGTCTTTACATGTCATAGTTTTTACATGTCAGTTTACTTTACACATTCACATTTTTCTTTACAGGGTGCATCATTTTCTTTACAACATATAGTTTTGCTAAAGATTTTTTTTTTTACATCATATTGATTTTACACATTGCATCTTTACATACCATAATCTGCTTTATACAATGCAGTTTTCATTTCAGATCATAGAGATTTGTTTACATATAATAGTTTTTGCACATTGTATAGCTTCCTTTACATATTGTGTAGTTGTGTTTACATTTTTTTCATGTTTTTTTTTTTACACTTTGCATAGTTTCTTTACATATAGATGTCTTAACATATCATATAGTTTTCTTTAAATATTGGACAAGACTGCAAATTTTGCATTAATTTTCTTGCAGTAAGCTCAAAAATGCTGTGTTTACGGTTGATTTCTAAACATTACTGTTTCTATTGCGAGTCGTTGCTCTAACACTCTTTGTGGATGTCTCTCTCCCCCCTCTCTCTCTCCCTCTCCTCTGTTTTGTTTGTGAAGGTCACATGCAGGCGGCTGCGGATGTCGGAGCTGGGCGTGATGGAGTGGGGGGAGAGCCGTAATGAGGGTTTGAGCGTGAATCCCAAAGGAACGAACCCGCGAGTCCCCAACCCCCTGCGCCTCTTCTCCAGGGGCTCCCCCGGCCCAAAGAGCAGCCCGAGAGAGATGGCGTATTTGGAAAACACGGAGGACCCCTGGGACTGGTTATCTAACCGGACAGATGTCGGGGAGGCGCAGAGCAGGACTAAGCGCAGGCCCATCGTGAAGACGGGAAAGTTCAAAAAAATGTTCGGCTGGGGCGACTTCAACTCCAACATCAAGACCGTGAAGCTGAACCTGCTCATCACGGGGAAGATCGTGGACCACGGCAACGGAACCTTCAGCGTCTACTTCCGCCACAACTCCACCGGCCTGGGGAACGTCTCCGTCAGCCTGGTCCCTCCGTCCAAAGTGGTGGAGTTCGAAATCGCTCAGCAGAGCACGCTGGAGACCAAGGACTCCAAAGCCTTCAACTGCCGCATCGAGTACGAGAAAACGGACCGCAACAAGAAGACTGCGCTGTGCAGCTTCGACCCCTCGAAAGTCTGCTACCAGGAGCAAACGCAGAGCCACGTCTCCTGGCTCTGCTCCAAGCCCTTCAAGGTCATTTGCATCTACATCGCTTTCTACAGCGTCGACTACAAACTGGTGCAGAAAATCTGCCCCGATTATAACTACCACAGCGACACGCCCTACTCCTCCACGGGGTAGACGGTGAGCTCGGACGGCCCTCGTTAGCTCGTAAACCTTGTGAAGCAGCGCAAAGATGCTCCAAAAAGAGGTTCCAGAAATCTCCAGCCATTACGTTCTCCGTTACCATGACAACACAACACAGTCTTACAAATAAAGGCGCCAAAAAGGCTTCTTTGGAGCAACACCACTTTCGGTTTCCTAACCTGAATGTTCCTTAGACCTCATTTGAAACTTTCATTAGGGCACCAAAAGTGTCAGGGGGGCTCAGTCCTGGTCCTGGAGATCTACCACCCTGGAGGGGTCAGACCCAACACACCTGGCTCTAATGTTCAGATGCCCCTGCAGGCCTTCATTACCTGGATCAGGTGTGTTAGATTAAGGTTGAGGCTAAACTCTGCAGGGTGGGAGATGGAATCATTCCAAAGTTCTCACTGTACAAAGTCTCCCCCAAAATTGTGTGAACGTCCACCAGAGCTGAGCACACGACACAAAAGGACAAAATAAATGTCCACACACACTTATACTGTAGGTGATGAACGCAGTCCCACTGTAAACAGTTCAGTATAGACAAAGCTATAGCATATTATATAGTTATAGTACATAGTATATAGTTACATAGTTACAGTAAAGATAAGTCTAAATTTGATCTACGCCTTGTCGCCATATAGGCTGAATAAAGAATTAGATATCAAGCCAGGGAGCTTGTAGAGAGGAGAATTACACTCTGTAATCTCTTTCGGGTTTCCCAAACACTAGAGGGCGCCCCTGAGTGAGTCCAAAATGAATGGGTTAAGATGGAGAAAAACATAAGAAAACATTTTTAATGTAAAAGAATACATTCATATCCTGAACACAGAGCAGTATAAATCATGTTAACACTGCTGTTATATTTTTAAGAGCTTTTAAACTCGAGTTACAGGAGTTTAAAACGGCACCTCATGTATGTTCATGACGTCTGTGAGCGCAAACAGTCAATGAGCTGCTCCGCTCACCAACCAATCAGCACTCAGTAGCAGTAACGCTAACCAATCAGCACTCAGTAGCAGTAACGCCAACGTCCTGCTGCCCAAAACCCGTTTGGTGTAGAAAAATGAAACTTACAGGTGAGTTTTCTTTGTTTTTTAGTGAAATCCATCCATCCTTTTTCTAAAACTAAAGGAAAGTTCTGGGCGAGTGATTAGAAACTATTTTAACTTTTAGGTTTTAGTCGTTTAGCTCCATTTACTCCCATTCATTGAGGACTCACTCACAGGCGCCCTCTGCTGTTTCGCAGTTGTGTTTTTGATATAACAGGGGAAATAAGAAGTGGCCAGACTCCTCATAAACCGGCTCCAATCAAGCCTTTTTTATAAAGGGCCTCTTATTTGGTGGCTCTTCCTCTTTCTCAACTTCATTATTAACTAAATTTATACTCCTGTAATGTTTATCTTTTACATTATTATTATGACCGTACAGATAATATGTACATAGTTAAAAATGATGGTTCTTCAAGGGTTCTTTAGTAAAGAAAATGGTTCTATATAGAACCAAGACCACTCAAAGAACACTTTGCATGATTAAAGAGTTCTTTGCATAGTGAAATGGTTCTTGAGACTGATGGAGAATGTGTTGTAGATGGTTCATGTACATGTCATTGTCTGCTTTGTACACTGCATAGTTTTCATTTCAGATAATATAGTTTTATTAATATATAAATAATATAACTATTTAATATAGTAACATATAATAGTTTTTTGCATATTGTATAGTTGTTTCTAAATATATTTTTTACAGATTGTAAAGTAGTTTTTTTACACATTTACACATAGCTTTCTTTACGGATCGTATCGTTGTCTTTACGTATTGTGTACTTTTCTTTGCACATTGTTTAGTGTTCTTTCCATATTGCACGGTCTTGTTTACACACTGTTCTATAAAGAACCTTTTTAAAAAGTGTTCTATATAGCAACAAAAAGGGTTCTTCAATTGTTATGGTGTCAGGCTTGTTACAATAGAAGAACTCTTTTTGGTGCTATTAAGATCCCTTTTCAAAAAGGTTCTATATAGAACCATCTACAGTACGTTCTCCATCAATCTGAAGAACCCATTCATGATGCAAAGAATCCTTTACTCATGCAAAGGGTTCTTTGAGTGTTCATGGTTCTATACAGTACCATTTTCTTTACTAAAGAACCCTTGAAGAACCAACATTTTTAAGTGTGTATGTTAAGTTTTAGCTGTGTTTCAGTTGGAGCTCCATTTTGACGTTCTGCCCAATGAAGACTGTAGAGGTCAAAAGGTCACAATAATACATAACTGAATAAGGGAGCTTTGTTTGCCAACATTTATTTTTGTTTATCAATCCGTCGAACGCCTTTTAGCTAAAGCACTGGTTCTAAATCCTGGTTCTGTACTGCACATTTTGGGGTTTTCTGCTCTGAAACACTTCAGCTCAGAAGGGCTTGTTCACTGGCTGGTCAGTTGAATGAGGTGTGTTTGAGCGAGAAAAGCATCACCATGTCATCGATGTTAAATGAAAACCTCATAATTCAGTTCCGCTTTTATTCCATTTGGAAAAACCAGCTGCTCTTTACATTGTGTTAAGATTTCATTATGAATGGGCTGGGAAAATTGTTGAGAACGTTTTAATGTACCTTAAAATTAAGAACATTTTTTCTTGCTTATTGAAATTGACATTGTTTTCATATAGAAGACCGAACTGACAATTTCCCACAATTTAAAACAATTTAATTACTAATATATCAGTGATTCCAAAGGAAACAGTTCTGAAAGTGACTGCAGACCAAAATATTTCTTTATTGTCTCACAATGTCTTTTTTCTTTTTCGAGAGATGTCATTGGTCCATCTCAGTAGATGTACATGTTGCCAGTTGCAGATGACCCTCTTAGAGAAGATGGAACTAAAGAAATAGTGTTGATTTTACGACTTTACGGGCTGACGAGCGCCGTCCGATCGGCCTAAATTCAGAGCAGACTGACCTCGGGCCAGCTCAGCCAAGCACGGCCCAAATCTGGCCCGAATCATCCGACCCTGCAGCACTGACCGCCTCATCTACACCATGTGTTCAAAGTGAATTGGTTTCCATTAAAACCAGTCCAGATGTTTTGCACCAGGCTAGACCATCGGCATGAGCTTTGGACGAACTTCTGCTTTTCGTGCGAGTGAAGCGGCGCCCCCGGTGGCCACGTGATTATTTTCAAAAGAGCAAACTGAGCTAATTTATTTTTGTTTTCTGTTTTTCTTTTGTTTTTGTTTTTTTGTATTGAAGGTAACTGAAAGTAACGCCAAACTGACTGTTTTGAATTTGCTGGGAAAGAATAACTTGAGCGCAAGAAAACAGTCCCGGAAATAAAGAGCAAACCAGTCATGAAGGACAGAACAGACACGAACACAAAGTAGAACCATCTCTGTGAGCTTTTCTGTGTTTCCACTCATTCTGACGTTGTGAATTACTGAAAAAGAGAGAAAATATCAGGATTGTTTGAAGAAGATTTATGTTGTGATCTGGTTAAATCATTCTACTCGTGTCTTTGAGGCGTTCTCTACCGTTTAAGAAAGAAAAAAAATCCGTGCTTGGAAATTCAAGGTTGCCCCATGAGAGCTCAATTCATCGGACAGGTGGGTTTAGTGAATCTGGCAGCCAATTAACAACACTTTGTCATGGTCTTGCCACAGTGCTTCGCATTTCCAGGCTCTAATTAACATTAATTACAGTGGGAAATTTCAGTTACACACCACAAATGAAGGGACTGAAGCCAAAAAGTGAAATTTAGCCTGTCAGTCACTCTGACAGTCTCTGTTCAGGACGGCGACTGTGGGGGAAAAGAAAGAACAGCGGTGGATGTATTTTGACGTAACGCGTCACGTTTGTCATCCGGTTTTATTCTATGTATGTTAACAGCTTTACAAAAGGTAAGAACCGTCCGTGACTCGGATTACAGGTGATTTCACTGCAGCTCAGCGTGATGTGGATCCCTTTCCTATGAGTTAACACAGAGATGAGACATACGGCCAAAAATCTGTATCACATTCATATAAAATTAACAGATTATTCAGCTGTACAGTGATTATTGTGAGCTCTGCACATCTTATGAGGCTTTAAGTGCAATTTTATTTATGTACAAGGTGTTTCGACTGTCCTCAAACCTGAAACAGTCAGGATTCATTGGTGATGATTCTAATTACTGTACGGAGTAATTGGTTAATTTTTGGGGAGCTGATTTTATTTATTTATTCATTTATTTATACATATGTATGTATTTCTTTTATCACCCATTCTAGCACACTTACGGTACTTTTTGTAGCCAAAGTGACAATATAAACATTATTTACTGATTAATGGGCCAAACTGGCATTTTACCGTCTTAAAAATCAGTTTTGATTTAAGTAACATGATTAAAATAAAGTGTGACATGTAAAGTAAGAGGTTTCTGACTATCACAGTGAGTTGTGTATAATTTTGTAATATGATTTTTTGGTTCAGGTGTAGCAGCAGCAAATACTGAAGCTACGCTCTTTAAAAAGATGGTTCTTTAAGGGTTCTTAAGTGAAAAAAATGGTTCTATATAGAATATTTCTTATATAATTATTTACTTATTTATTCATTCATGTATTAATTCCTTTTATTAGCCCATTGCAGCACATTTACACTACTTTCTTTAGCCAAAGTCTCAATATAAACAACATTATTTACAGTTTAATGGGCCAAACTGGTATTCTTCAAAAGTGCTATGTGTAAAGTAAGAGGTGACTGATCATATATATATATATATATATATATATATATATATATATATGATATGGTATTTTGGTTCAGGTGTAGCAACAGCATTCAAACACAGCACTACACTCCTAAAAAAAACATGGTTCTTCAAGGGTACTTTGGCAAAGAAAATGGTTCTACAAAGAACCATGAACACTCAAAGAACACTTTGGATGATTAAAGGGTTCTTGAAGTGGTGAAATGATTCTTCAGATTGACTGAGAATGTGCGTTATATGTTCTATATGTTCAATTTAGAACCTTTTTGAAAAGGGTTCTACATAGCACCAAAACAGGCTCTTCTGCTGTTATGATGCCAAGCTTGTAACAATAGTAGAACCCTAAACTACAAAAGAGATGGTTCTTCAAGGGTTCTTTAATAAAGAAAATGGCTCTGTGAAGAACCCTTTGCATGATTACAGCATTCCTTAGATTGATGGAGAACGTGCTGTAGACGGTTCTTCATAGAGTCTTTTTGAAAAGGGTT